GGGTGTTCTTTCATATCACACAGATCTCCCCTCCCCAGGACTACTAGCAAACACAGCTCCAAGATATGTAGACCAGGGTCCCATCCCAGGCTGCAGTCTCAGTCTCCCATCCCAGGCTGCAGTCTCTCCCCCCACCTTCTTTTGTATGGAGTTGTATCTGCAGTGTCCAGTCTGGCAAAGTCCATGCTGGTCTCCATGTCCAAGAGGTGCTCCAGTTTTGCCCCCAGTTATGGGACCCTCTGGGTCCAGTGCTCCTCTGGACAATTTTCAGATTATCCTCTCAGGAGTGAACCAGAAAACTGACACTATTTTGTTACAATCTTTAAAAAAATGACTTGATGTTATATTTTTAATTGGAAACAATCTATGTACCAAAAGTGACAGAAATTGAGAAGAAAATCATGGTGCACTCACATAATGGTATGCAGTCACAAACATTAGAAGAAATTCTAATGAAACCATAAATTGCTCATGATAAAAAGTTAAGAAATCCCACATTTTTGTTTGATCACAATTGTTCTTAAAACTTGAACTAAAAAATGACTGGAGGGGCCTCCCTGGTGGCGCAAGGGGTTAAGACGCAACCTATGAAACTGTCCGCAGCCTCTGCAGGACAAGTTTGATCCCCTGCCCAGCCAGGGAGAAACCCACATGGCACAGCAGACGTCTCCTGACTTGCCCGCTGCTCTCCTCAGCAGTGTACTTCAATCAATCTGCTTGTTCTGTTCCCCACTGTCTCTGGTGAATCCTCTCACCTCCCATACCTCTGGTCTGCACCCCAGCTCTTGCACGCATAAATAAATAAATCTTAAAAAAAAAAAAAGACTGGAAGTCAATTTAATATAAATGTTAAAAGCCTTTCTTGCTGTATTTTCCAAAATGGCATGCTTATTTAAAAACAACAGTGTCTGGGCCCTCCCTGGTGGTGCAAGGGGTTAAGACACACTATGAAGCTATCCACAGCAGCATGAGTTCGATTCCCCAGCCAGGGAGGTGACCCACATGGCGCAGCAGACCTCTCCTATCTCGCCTACTGCTCCCCTCAGCAGTGTATTTCAGGAGATCCACCTGTTCTGCTCCCCACTCTGTCTCTGGTGAATCCTCTCACCCCCCTACACCCCAGCTCTTATATGCATAAATAAATGAATCTTTAAATAAATAAATAAATAAATAAAAATAAAAACAATAGTGTCTTTTCTCTGTTATTTTTCATTATTATCAAAAATATGCATGGGGGGGTCCTATACAATGCAACAAATTTATTCCTTTTGTAAAAAGTTAACAATAAATCATTAGGTGAGCTCGACTCATCTGGGTTGATTCCTAATATGGAAAAATCACAATCTGTAGAAACTGCTTTGTAGTTAGTATCAGTGAGGTAAAAGTAGAGTCTGTTGGCAAATAAATACTCTCACAGATTTTTTATTTTGGCGTTCACATTTGACTTGTAGATTGCTTCCATTATTGTATCACTGATTTTTGTTAATCACTTAAAAACCATCTTTAATTCAATTTCCTCATATCCCTTGCTGGCGTTTTTTCTATCTTAAGTGAAAAAGAGAGCAATGATATTCAGTGTAAGTTAATAAAGCATAAGTGAGGTGAGACAACTGTCCAAATTTCTCATGGCAGGCTGGGGAAAAGCATACAAGTAAACAGACAATCACTCTATAGCAGCATGCTACAGTCAATCTTCTGAAAAGACTACCACATATTGTTGGTTTATCTTACTGATTTCTCATTTACTCTACAAAAAGGTCTGCATGAACTAAGTCTCCTGCCAGTTCCATTTCTATAAACATGTTCTGACAGACTACCAATGTTCAGTGAAGACTGCTTCTATACCGTAATTACTAGCTCCTCTTCCTCTACCCACTCCTATAACCTTATGACAACACATTTCCCCAGGAATTTATTGTGGTCGACCACTATTCTCCTTCAATAGAATTCTCAGGTTCTAACTATTTACTACTCATATACAAAAGACTCCAACCATCTCCAAGGAATTTGGGATTCCATCACAACTTCTATACAGATAACTCTTAAACTTACCTTAAACTCAATAACCTGAAACCTACACACATTATGTTTGGTGGCACCCCATAACTTCCAAGTACTTTATATGATTAACTCATTAATCTTCACAGCAATCCCATAAGATAGATGTCATTATCACCATTTTACATTGAGTAAACTATTTTGCCTAAACTCTAAGAAGTCTAGTCAGTATATAAACCTAAATCCTGTAGTCCAAGGTTTATACTATGTAATCTCTCCTAAATGCCTATAGTACCATACTGAGAATTCAGGAATGTGACAAACAAGGCCTACGACCTCATGGGACGTATTTTCTAGTAAATAAATAGAACAGCAAGAAAAAAAAATCAGATTATAAAAGGCCACCAGGTAGAAAACAGGATTTTATGACAACAAATTCAGAGGTGGATCTACTTAACAATGATGCAAGACTCTAGAAAATACTTTTAAAATGAAATCTAAAGGACAAGAAGAAGATGCCAAAATACACAGAGGAGGGGCCTCCCCGGTGGTGCAGTGGCTGAGCGCTGGGCTGCGATGCTCTGCAGCGCCGGTTCGATCCCTGATCCCCGGCCGCCGGGTGAGGGTCCCACATGGTGCGCAGACCTCTCCTGCCGCCCGCTGCTCCCCTCAGCAGTGTACTTCATCACTCTGCCTGTTCTGCTCTCCTCTCTGGCTCTGGTAAATTCTCTCACCCTCCCGCGCTTCTGACTGTACCCAGTGCTTGTATAAATAAATATATAAATGAATAAATCTTTAAAAAAAAAAAAAGACAGCAAAATACACAGAGGAGGGATATATCCTGAAGAATGCTGGGGTATTGCAAAGATGACGTTATAGATTGAACTATGTTGCCCCAACATTCATATATTAAAGCCCTACTCCTAAATGTGACTATATTTGTACAGAAGGAATTTAAGTAATTAATTAAGATTACATAAGATCATAAAGATCATAAGATCTTCCCTTACAAGAGAAAATGACACCAGAAATCAATCAATCAATCTCTCTTTCTCTGCTCCCACCCTCCCAAGCATGTGCACAAAGAGGAGAGACCAGTGAAAACACAGTGAGAAGACTCCTGTCTACAGGTCAGGGAGAGAGAGAAGACTCCTGTCTACAGGTCAGGGAGAGAGAGAAGACTCCTGTCTACAGGTCAGGGAATAACCAGAAACCTACCCTGAAAATATCATGGTACCATGATATTGATTTGATCCTCCAGATTTGTGAGAACTTTCAGTTACCCTGACTGTGGTATTTTGTTATGGCAGCCCAAGCAAATGAATACAAATAGGGAAGACCTGATTGTTTGGTAGGTACTAACAAAAACCAGTGTCCTAATATAGACAGAGCAATGAAGTTAATAATGTATCAAGGCTCTTAAGACCATAGATGATAGATAAACCCAAAATGAGATATTGACGAAATGGCCCTTGGTACAGGGGCCATTTGTGGCTTTTGTTCTCTCTATGAAAATATACAAATTATTTCATATGAAAATAAATATGCAGTATAAAATGCATTTTAGTAATCCCCAACCCGGTATTAAAACTATTTAGACATGCCATATAAATATCTGTGCATGTGTGTAAACTTAGTCAAAAAGCAAGATCCACACCTCTGAAATCAGCACCTCAGGGCAAATAAAAAAGTATAATATAACCAAGAGAATTAATGTTTAAATTCCTAATTGATTTTAGTATAAGCATTCACAGTTATCCAGTTCCATCAAGGAAAACTGTGGCTGTATCATACTATCATATTGTTTTCTCCTCGAAAACATTTTTTGACGGTAGTAGAAATATTTAAGATCAATATTTAAAATAAGTACTATTAATTTTTCCATTATCTTTAGAGCATAAAAGGCATTGTCAACTTAAAACACAAAAAAAAACTTGTTTCAAGTCATACCTGAAATAAGAAGAAAATCTAGAATTCTCTGAGGTTAACAGTTAAATGTGTTATAAACACACCAAATGGTCAATTAAATTCTATTCCTCTTTTTTTTTTTTTTTTTTAAGTTTTTTTTTTTTTTTTTTAATAGAGGCATATTTTATTTATTTATTTATTTGTTTGTTTGTTTGTTTTGTTCATACATGCACTGAGTACAGTCAGAAGCGCGGGAGGGTGAGAGAATTCACCAGAGCCAGAGCGGGGAGCAGAGCAGGCAGAAGGACCGAAGCACACTGCTGAGGGAGCAGTGGGCGGCAGGAGAGGTCTGCGCGCCATGTGGGACCTCCTCCTGTGGCCGGGGAGCAGCCGGGGATCGAACCTGCGCCGCAGAGGCCGCGGGCAGCTTCGCAAGCCAGCGCTCAACCGCTGCGCCACCGGGGAGGCCCTAAATTCTATTCCTCTTGACTAAGAAATTTTCTGACCAACCTCCCCCCAAGTGAGGGAGAGTAAGTATTGGAGGGAAGGAAGAAAAAATAAGAGGGAAGAACAAGGAGAAATGGAAGGAGAGAATGAGACAAAACAATATAATGAAAAACGATTTAAGAGGAGAGGTGAGGTACTCCAGCTTAAGAATAAGCAAAGTAAAAATAATGAAGGTCATGACATTGCCCCAGATCTATTGAGCAAATATAAAGCAGGCATTGCTAGAAGCAGGGCATGGTTAGGACTCTCAAAAATCATAAAGATTATAGTACAGCTATTTTTCTCAGAATACTTGCAAGTGAAAGAAATCTGACAAAGGAAGATGCAAGCCACTTGTTAGCCAAAACCAACATTAATTACACATGTGCAATCTGTGTAAATTAAACAAAGATAGCCCATATCAAAATAACATCTTAATGGTTTGTCAAAATAAGTTCTTGTGTTACATTTTGACTATTTTTGCATGAGAAAATTCCCTCAAAGGAAAAAACAATAAATCCAAGTAATTTTCTAAAAGGGCATGTCATACAATAACACTATGGTTTAAATTTAATATGGCAAGAAAAATTCTGAAAAATGTGAAATACCTCAGTCTGACCCTCATGGGCACTGGTCTCATGAGTAACTCGAATAGCCTGTAATAAGAATACAAGGTATTAATAGGAGAAAATAACTATATTCAATTTTTAAAATGAAAAAAAAAAGTAAATTTTAACATCTAAGATACAACAAAATTGGGAGAAATTTAAGAACAGCTTAGTACTAGATATTTAAGAATGATTTCTAAGCAACCAAATTAAGTGCTGTACTTGCCAACCCACAAATCTCTGGACTTAAGAAACTGAGTTATCTGTTTACTTATAATTACTGGGTATAAGTAGGAGTCACTTGTTTGTGAGAACTAATACACAACACTTTATTCAAATGAGACTGGAATAAAGTAGGCATCTCACAGATAGAGACTGAAGAAGCTTTTCTCATCTGTTTCTCTAGGTTACATGCTCCTCTGCAGCTCTGGCTGTATTTACACTTAATCATGCAGCTTCAGTTGACAATTTAGAAATATGGAGAAAATGCATGCATCCATTGAAAGCTAGAGTTTTCATTTTCTGAACTTAAAAGAAAATAATCTTATAATACCCGCTATTAGCAAAGATGAAGAGAAATGGGCAAAGTAGTAAATTACGGATAAGAGTACAAACTTTATGAATAGCAATTTGGCAATCAAAGCCTTCAGAACATGCAAACTGTTTGATTGAACAATTTATTTTCTAGCTGTCTATTTATTTACATACCACTGTATATAATTATATATAATTAAGGATATTTGTAAATATTTAGGTACAATGATGTGTCTTGTAATATTTTTAAATAGTGAAAAAAAGGAAAAATGACATTTCTGACAATAAATAAAATATCATACAATGGAAAGCTATGCAGCCATTAAATGAAGTCAAATATATACTTACTGTATGTAATAAGTTTGTGATAAGTTAAGTGAAAAAGCAAGTTATAAAGCACTATTACAACATGACCAAAATTTTGTTTTAAAAAATTGTGTATATACATATATACATATACATGCCCTGTGAAAATTATTAATGGTGACTACCTCTCAATGGTGGGATTACTGGAGAATTTTATGTTGTGTTATTCTTATGTAAAATAAAGATGCTTAATGAGATCAACAGGTTTTTAAAAGAAAAAACAAATTAAAATCATCAAAATATATTATAATGCTAAAACAACATAATCAAATCAATGAAGTGATTGGGCACAAACTCTGTTTAATGTATTTATTCTAACCAATTAATTTGTACTGCTTCTAATTTCAAATAACTTACAATATATTTAATGTTATTAAATGGTAAAAAGACTTCAAAAGAAAAACAAATTTCCAAAAATGATTAATTTTTAAAACCATTCTGAAACAATTCGACAAAATGATACAATCATTTAAAACTATATTATGTGGCCTGTGTCTTCACACATGCAAAAATATCACACTGATAAAATAGCTAAAGTATAGTCTAACATCTACCTTTAAACCTTTGTTTTTTCCATTGGTCTTCAGCCTTGTTCCAAATTCCCAGTGAAAGACACACAGGGTATTGCCAGGCATATATTTATTATAGGGAGGGAATGGTAAGGAATAGTCAATGATAAGATATTTTATAAATTTGTAAATTAAACTGCTTTATTTTTTCATTCACCTCTAGAAATAGAAGTAGCAATTTATCAACATTTATGGATAGTTCAGATAATGGCACCTGAAAAGTACAAAAGGTCATTTTTAATGAATATGAAAAAAACGTTAACTGTTCAAAACTACTTTCAAGACAAACCCCAAAGAGAATCTACACTCCCACAAAAATTTGCCCACATACGAAAACAAGACAGAAAAAAGGTACCGACGTCATAGTTCTCCAGGTATCTGGCTCGTTCTTCAGGGCTCATTGACACAGACTCCTCCAGGAATTTTTTCAAAGTTGATCCTGATTCTGAGAATATTTAAAAAGATAAAACTGAAAGGTTGGCAGTCTCCCAGTGACTGACATGAAAATTCTAGAAGTGTACTATTTTTTTAGGTAAAACCCTTTCACTCGTAAGTTAGAAATACATGTTGAGATAAAGGATAGGGCTGAGGTTATTTATTGAAGCTTTCTTTATCGACAATAAAAAGAAAGGGAAGGATTAATATTTCTTCTAACAGTACATACATTCCTATTATAAAAGAAAAAGGGAAGAAACTGCTTTAATACTTTGAAGGGAAGAACTAGAGCACCACCTACTGCTCAATAAGTTAACTTACTAGTTAAGCAGGAAAAAAATAGCAGCAACGAAAAATGATTTACCGAAGTGCATCTTGTCTTTATTGTTGGCAATAGCATGGATCAGTCCGATTGTTCCACAGGCATTGCTGATTGTTTGTTTCATGAAATATACTGAAGACGTAACATCTTGTCCCTGAGATTTTATTTTTTCTTCCTCTTCTGTTCTGAATACTTCATACTAGTAAAAAAACAAATCAAGAGTCTACATGTGAAAGCTAAAACATTGAGACTGAACCATAAATCTGGAAAAATTCTGTCCAGTAACAGGGACTTGGTTTACATATTATGGCATATCTTAAGGAAATACTGTATTTATACTTTAAGGGAAGGGAGTAAGGTAGATTTACATATTTTGACTTAGAAATCTGCCCATGATTATAGAGCATTTATAGTTCAGTATATATTAAGATAACTCTCACTTATAATTTTAAATTATATATTACATATATATTGAAAAGCCTGAAAAGGTTATACAAAAACTAAAGAAAGATTATCTCTGGGACCCAAAACAAAAATCACTGGAGGATTTTTATTTTCTATTTTTATATACCTATTTTGGCTTTATTACTTTGACAAGAGAAAAAATCAAAAAGAAGTTTAATAACAACATGTATTCCTCCTGCATACATGGGAGACCCAGCATGACTAATTCCTAACATTGCTGTATTGTTAAATTATGTCATTTTTAAAAAATTAGAAGCATACAATAGTTATAACAAACATTCACCATTACCTACAATAACTGGTCATAAAAACAACATGATAAAGTAATGAGTATCAAAAGTCTGAACTCTAACTACCTGCCTGAGCCCACCTCCCAGCTCTGCCAAATTAGGTTTGTAATTTGGCAAATTACAGTCTTTGTGCTCATTTTTCTAATTATAAAACAGAGGTTAAATATAAATAAAGTGGCTAAAAAATAGTGAATAGGAGGAGAAAAGTGGAAAGAAAGTTTTAATATTTTGCTTATTGTTTTCATATCACTTTCAAATTCCAATAGAGCAGGGACAAATGATAAAGTAGTACAATGACAGTCTGCAGGTCAATCTGGCTTATTGCCTATTTTCATGAGTAAGGTTTCATTTATGTATTGACTATTACTGTTTTCACATGGAAAGGCTAAGCTGAGAAGTTGTAACAGAAACTATAAGGCCTGAAAAATCACAAATATTTACAATTTGGCCCCTTACACAATATGTTTGCTGATCCATGTAGTAAAGAAACAAATAATCATTGCAGAAAACCAGTAAGACACTGCTTCTAACCACAAATGCATCTATGCTTTAAAACATAATCTTGATTAATGTATTACTAAATCAGGTTTTCAGTAGTATTTTCAGAATTCTGAAACATGAATCCATACGTATAAGTTCAAATGATAAAAACTGGAAAGGTTCCATTAGGTCTTAAATTGAAATGTTTATAGAGCCCTACAGCTTAGTTTGCTGTTGTTTAAAATCAGTGTTCCTTGCTGACAAAACAAGATGAAATTTTATGGCCTTTTAAGAGTTAATGTTTAAGAAAAAAATCCTAAAATAATATAAAGTACAGGAAAAAAGGAAGAGCAATTATGGCAGACCAAAATGAAAACACACGCTCAAGAGACAACATAAATATCAGAGAGAAGTGAATTTATAGCCTCTTCACCTATGATTCATTGGCTGGTAAAGCACACATTTAAAACTACCTAATTGACTTTATTTAAAGGGTAATGAGGTATCCAGGACAGTTCTTTTGCTATTAGTATGCTTAAGTCATTCACAACTTCACTTCAGTTTCTAAATTAGAAATCAGACGACTGAAATACTTAGTATCTCCTAAAACACACACTAGGAATTCTTTGTGTGAATTTATGTCACTTATGACCTAAAATGGAGATTTGTTAAATTGGATGTGGTATCAGAAAGTTACAGGTGCCACTCATAGTCTTTATTTATAGAAGTATAAATATTTATTTATATAAATACTATGGAATTGTGTTCTTCCTACCAACAGGAACATTGAGTTTTTTAAAACTAATGATCTACTAAATGAAGAAGTCCTATTGATAAAGAAAATCTGCTTTTGTAATATTGATGACCCAGTAAATGAAGAAGATCAAATTCAATTTATTCTTTTTTAAAAAAGGATATGTTTTATTTATTTATGCAAAAATGAACTGGGGTATAGGCTACAGATACAGGGGGATGAGAAGGTTCACCAGTGACAGAGTGGGGAGCAAAACAAGAACAGGCAGATTTACTAAAATATACTGCTAAGGGGAGCAGTCGGCAAGATAGGATAGGTCCGCTGCACCATATGTTAGTTAGTTAGCATCCTGGCCTAGGACAGAACTCAGGCTACAGTGGTGATAGTGTGATAACACTGAGACTAACCCCTACACCACCAGGGAGGTCCCCAATTTATTCTTTAAAAAAAAAAAAGGTTGATGATAAAAATCAATGGTATGGCAAATTTCTAAATCAGACAATAAACTCACATTTGTATCACACCAACTAACAAAGTCTAAGCTTTAAGCAGCTGATTTTTTTTTTCATCTTTTTACTGCTCCTTACAGTTGGGGTCCTGGGATAGCTATCAATTAGTTTATTTCAGTAATCAAAAAAGGTGAAGATAAAACTGGACAAAGAGAGTAATTTAAGTTTTTGTCCTAACTATTCCAAAAATTTCAGAATAAGCACAACTCATCACATAAAAGTAGGAACTAAATTTAATAATGGATAATCACTAAGAGACTTCAATCTCAGGCCTCCCCGGTGGCGCAGCGGTTGAGCCCTGGGCTGCGAGACTGCCCGCAGCCTCTGCAGCACTGGTTCGATCCCCGGCCGCCGGGCAAGGGTCCCACATGGCGCGCAGACCTCTCCTGTCGCAGACCTTTCCTGCCGCACCCACTGCTCCCCTCAGCAGTGTATTTCAGTCAGTCTGCCTGTTCTGCTCCCCGCTCTGGCTCTGGTGAATTCTCTAACCCTCCCACGCTTCTGACTGTACCCAGTGCTTGTATAAATAAATAAATCAATCTTAAAAAAAAAAAGATTTCAAACTCAATTTCTAATATTGTAAACAGCAAATATAAATTTTTCAAAATACTATTATATAATTAAATTTGTTTTGTAGAATGCTTAAGTGAAAGAAAATCTTGAACTGAGGCTAATTAGATATGGCAAAAAGTATTCAGGAATTTCCAGGATTTAGCAAAGTCAAATTCTTAATTGTTATGAGATTTGACTCCATTTATTCCTGGAAAATAAGAGGACAGGAAGCATGGACATGCCAAGTCATCCGTACTTCATTTCTCCCACAACTGCTCAAACATTTACTTCTTTTTTCACAATTACTTTCACATTATTTGACCATGACAGTTAATCCCATCATTTCTAAGTTTAAAAATAAAAACCAGAAGAATATAGACTCAAAACTGTTTTAAAATACTTTAAAAGTTCTAGCTCCATGATATATATCAATATGACATAATTCTAGAAGTACTGAAATATAGAAATTTGAACTCAAATCTAAACATCTAAGAATAGCTATTAATAATCCCCAATGCATCCTAAGTCTGCCAATTAAATCATATTTAAGCTTAGTGATTCTCACCCAAATCAGGTTTACTCAGAAAATAATGTAATCTGTGTCATTAGGTAAACCTACCTATTATATATATTGAAAAAAAAATTACATATGTACTGAAAAATTGAATATTCTTTACTTATCTATTTCCTGGGACAGGTTTAAGACTATTCTAGTATGTACCATTTCTAAAGGATAAATGCCAATATGTCATGTCAAAACAAAGTTGAGGAAAACTGTATTTTATAAAAGGTGCAAATTACCCATATTTAAAAGATTAACCCAGGACTTGACTATGAATCTAATTATCAAAATCTGAGTATCACCTCTCTAATTACACTAATTTTTTAACATGTACACATTGCCTAAATTTCCTGATTTCGTGTAAGAACTGGTCTTTAAAGAGGGGCAATTTTTTAACTTAACAATAAAAGAGAACTCCGCATTTACTGGAAATTTTATATCTTACTTAACAATTAGGGGCCTCCCTAGAGGCACAAGGGGTTAAGATGCAACCTATAAAGCTATTCACAGCCACTGAAGCACGAGTTCGATCCCCAGCCAGGGAGCTACCCAAATGGCGCAGCAGACCTCTCCTGACTCGCCCGCTGCTCCCCTCAGCAGTGTATTTCAGTCAATCTGCCTGTTCTGCTCCCCACTCTGTCTATGGTGAATCCTCTCACCCCCCCACACCTCTGGCCTATACCCCAGTTCTTTTATACATAAATAAATAAATCTTAAAAAAAAACACAACAATTACCTTTTCTGTGATAGGGAAGAGAAGTAACACTGCACACACTGGCCTTGGTACCATGCTAAGGAGTTCAGGATCCATTCCATATACATCGACGAACTGCCAATTAGGATGCAGACCTAATTGTTTGAGAAACTGGTGAAAGGAGGGTAAAAATAGTATAGTGTTAACAGGGAAATAATCAACATGTATAATACATGTGTATATCTAATACATAAAAGAGAATGTAAGGTACAAATATTACTGATGTTCAATAAGAATGACATAAAGCAGGCATTCCAGGAAAAGGGTGGGAAGAGATAGTAATTCATTTATATAAATTAACAAACACTTAAAATTCATAACATAGTAAGTAAAACTCCTTTTTTCAAAGTCCATTACTTTAGAACTGAATGCAATAAGCCAGGATTTCACCAAATACAGAAAGTTTGGTTTGTGTTTATTTCACCAAACATGGAAAAGTTGGTTTGGTTGATATTAAGCTCATTTCTAGCACTTGATTTTAAAATGATACACATCTAAGTTCCAGTAAATCATTATTTAAGTAGAGATAAAGATAGCTTATTCCTCTTACCAAAAATGTTGTCTGTAGTTTACAGAGGGACAGGTAGGTATATATTATATTAATGAGCAAAGAGTATATAGGAATACTATATGGCTGATATACATGGCAAACTACTAGATTCCTGACTTTCAGTACATAGCAAAACCTACTTGACTTCATTGCATCTCATATCTGGCAAAAAAACAAAACAAAAAACAACCTGTAATAAAAGATGGTTGTTTTGAAACTCTTAAGATTTCATTGGAAAATAAAATGTGAGAACTCAATAGCTGCAGAAAATAGAATACAAGAATGAAAGTATCAATTTCAAAATAAATTTTTAATATTTGGAAGAAATAAAGCTGATGATTTTCAAAGGTACACAATTACAACGTAAGTTTAAGATGAAGATACATGGGGAAGTATTCATCATTACTTTTAACAGGGGAGCTGTAATTCAAAACTATAATGAGCTATCATCTCACACCCGTGAGAAGGGTACATATTCAAAACAAGACAAAACAAATCACCTGAACAGCAAGTGCTAGAGAGGATGCAGAGAAAGAGGAACCCTATTAAATCTTTGGGGAATAAAGTAGTACAACTATTTTGGAAAGTAATCTGGGTTTGCCTTAAAAACTAAAAATGAGAATACTATATGACTCATCAACCCCACTCTTGGGCATCTATTTGAAGAAAATGAAACCATCAACTCAAAAAAGTATCTGCTCTCTAATGTTTATTGCATCACTATTTACAATATAGCTAGGACAAAGATAAAATCTAAGTGCTCACTGATACAGGATTGAATTAAGATGTGGTATATCAACAGAATGGAATACTACTCAGCCCTAAGGAATGAAGAAATGTTGCCTTTTACAGCAAAATGTAAAGAGTTTGTCAAAACGAGAACTATTAGACATTCATGTTACAGATGATTAGACAAAGCAAAATACTTATGAAAACCAGTGGACACTAATAAACAAAGTGAGGTCCCTTTAGTTAAGATGTCAGGAAGGTAAAAGGAACAAAGCAGAGGGGTCTCCCTGGTGGCACAGGGGTTAAAGTCAGCACTATCAAGCTATCGGCAGCCACTGCAGCACAAGTTCAATCCCTGGCCAGAGAGCTAACCCACATGCTGACCTCTCCTGTCTCACCCACTGCTCCCCAGAGCAGTGTATTTCAGTAGATCCACCTGTTCTGCTCCCCACTCTGTCTCTGGTGAATCCTCTTACCCCCTCCCTTGTCGCCCCCAGGGAGCTACCCACATGGTGCAGCAGATCTCTTCTGACTCGCCAGCTGCTTCCCTCAGCAGTGTACTTTGGTCAATCTGCCTGTTCTGTTCTCCACAATGTCTCTAGTGAATCCTCTCACACAGACACACCCACATCTCTGGCCTGTACCCCAGCTCTTGTATGCACAAAAAAACAAATCTTTAAAAAAATAAAATAAAATAAAACTGTGTCTAAGGTATTTCTCCTGAAGAATGATCACATGTGCTTAGATCAAGTAAGATCTTGCAAAACCAATGAAAGCCAAGCCACTTTACTAAAAAGTGTTATTCTTCTCTCACACAGTCAGGTTCTAAAAGACAAGAGCACCCTGATTCAAGGGCTAAACTCTTTATACCTCTATTTCTCTGCCTGCAGAAGCCTTTACCTTTGTGATAACATGGTTGGTCAAAATAAGATTCTAAATGTTTAATAAAAGTTTGCTAAATTGGGCCTCCCTAGTGGTGCAGGCAGTTGAGCTCAGCACTGTGAAGCTGTTCATAGCTTCTGTAGTGCCAGTTCAATCCCCGCCGGCCTTGGGGCAACCCACACCGCGAGCAGACCTCTCAGTCTCGCCCGCTGCTCCCCTCAGCAGTGTATTTCATTGGTCTGCCTGTTCTGTTCCCCGCTCTGTCTCTGGTGAATCCTCTCACCCTCCCATGCATCTAGCTAATATCCCGGCTCTTGTATAAATAAAATAAATCTTTAAAAAAAAAAAAAGTTGGCTAAATCATTCCAACTGTTTCCTTCTCCCTTTTTTACTTTCTCCAAAATTCCTAGTCTATACTGTTCTCAAAATCCAATTCTATCTAGAAACCAAAAAGGACTAAAATTGACTGCAAAGTCAAAGGAAGGGCATGTGTTTTACTCAACTTTTTAATCCCACTGACTAGTTCTATAACTGGCTGAAGTACAGTTATACTTGTTGAATGAACTAAAAGGTTGACTCTATTTTGATAGAAAAATCTAGTCAACTGTATGTCTATTAACTTATATCTATAACAAATATTTAATAAATATTTGTTTTTATTTATGCCAGGTTAGAGAAGTAGAAAAGATACATTTAGCTCCTAATCTAAAACCAGGCACTCATTTAATAAACTCCAAAAACTACCTGCACAGGATCAATTGCCCTAAAAGGTATATTGTCTATATATATATATATATATATATATATATATATATTTGCATACACACACACACACACACACATAGAGAGAGAGAGAGAGAAAACTAGGGTAAGGAGATTTTAATTTATTTGCCAATTTTATATATCCCTCAAGCCATATTTTTATAAAGTTATAAGATAGTGCCCATTAACAGAGTCATTTCACGTTTGTGCTGCAAACTTAAACATTTTAGTGAGAAAGGTGTGGGCAAAGTTAAGTTACTATGAAATGAAGGGCCTTCCTTGTAAACTTAGTGTGTGTCAGTCAAAACTAAGAAGTATAAAAAGCATCACGATCCAAAGAAAGCTAGTGAGAGTGATTAGTATCAAAGGGAGGACATAATAACTAAATAGCCAATCAAATATAAAAATGATCACATTTTCACCAGAATCATACTTTTTCTTTTCTAAACACTAAGTAATAAAATAACACAAAATTCTGACTGATTAGGTCTCTAAATTTTCACAATGGCACCAAAGTGTTGGCCAATCAAGAAAAATACTTAGCAAATTAGAAGATGTATTCATAAAAGATTCTCCATCATTTATCCTATGGTCCAAGGATAAATTTTCCACCAAATAAAGTATATTTTACATTAAATATTTTTAAGAGTGCCATGTGGCAGATAGTTTTAAAGTATCTCACCTTTAGGCAAAGTAGGTTTTATTATATTTTCTGAATGTGACAAAGGAGTCTGAGAGTTGATGTGATTTTTCAAAGGACATTGTTAGAAACCACTAGCAAAGCTGCTCATGCTTTAGTCTTTACTTTTCCAGGTTCATCTTTCACTGCTTAAAGTACCTTTTTTGTACCTTTTCTATCTTTTGCCACAATGAACTCTTGGAGTCTCAAAGGGCCTACCACCATCTCTAGGTTTTTGTATACAAACTAGATTTCTCGATCTGAAAACTGTTAGCCTCTGACCCCAATTTATAATGCATTCCTCCTCCTCCTTATTCCCCAAATAACAAATAACAAAAACTTTAATTGTATAAATTTTCAAAAATATAAAAATAAAATTTACTTTCCTTCCAAATTTGTTCTAAAGCCACTTTTTCTATATTTATTGCCCTGCTCCAGACAGCAATAGATTCTGCCCTGTTACTAATTTATTTATGATTTGGGTTATGAAATTATACTTTACTAATTGCTTGATATTGCTACTGACAGAAGCATGCTAGTAATAATAAGTAGATGCAAAACTAGGAGAATAATAGCTAAATCAGAAAATAACAGTTCTAAAAGCCTGGAAGCTAGCAAAATTAATGTTAGTAGATTAATGTTATAAAACAAACAAAAGTGAAATTATTTAAGTACAAAAGGGAACATTTTATTTTACTACTGAATACATTTTATGCAGGGACTAAGAAAAAGGGGGGTTTATTTAGTTTCAGGGGTTCAATATGGAGTAACTACAAAACTGAAAACAGAAATGATACGCTAGTCTGCTTTTTAAAAGAAGTGTTGTTGAGGATAGTGCAGTGGTGCTCTACATTCAACACAGATTATTCAGAGTGTAATATATCAGTTCTGGGATGCCTATTTTATGAAGGACAATGACAAAGAGAAGCAGGCTTATAGGACGGTGACTAGGAATGGTAAGGTTTAAGAAGACACCAGAGCTGGAGTATCTGGGCCTGTTCACAGAAGACAAATTAACATCAATAAACCCAGATATTTTCAGTAACACCTTGGAAGAGCAATTAGTTTTACTCTATCTCGGTTCAATGGGAGGACCAAAGACATCTGGAAGAAGTTACAGGAAAGCAGATTTTGTTTCAGTGAAAGAAATTTAACTCTTGCATTATTATATAGTTATTATGGTATTTATTAGACTTTCTCTAAAATAACGAGGTGACATTAAAATATAGAAAATAAAAAAGAAATTGCTATGAAACTGAACAGAGTGATTCAGAGAATGGGTTAGGCATTCAAAGAATGCAGCCCAGCATGAATGGAATAAAGGTGAGCAGTTTCCCCTTATGCGTACAGAGTAAAAAGCTTGAATTGTACTCTAAAGACAAGCAGTGAAGGCAAGGCCATTTTGTATTTTGAATAGTTTATGCAAGTGATGTGATTTGCATTTTTATAAAACACATTGAGTGTGTATGGAGAATGAATTTTAAAAAGGGGAGAAAAGAGCCTCCCTGG